AAATGACCCTAATTTTGCTCTGTGACTAGAGCAAGGGTAAACTTTAGGCTACCAGCCCCTGGCACTAACACCAAATGAATCCCAGGCATCTCTCCTGATGTAAAGCTCCATCAAGCAGCAGTCAAATGCTTTCTGCATAGGTGAGATTAGCTCCCTCAATTCTCTACATCAAGAATTAGCCAACTAATTGCTAAGAGTAATTAGATGTTGCCAAAAGCAAAAGGCCTGGAGAGTACTCCACCACCAACCAGCAGGTATCAAGATCTAGTGTATGTAACACAGTGAGTTGGCCTGTTAAGTTCAGCTCAAAAGAACTGGGATCAGTTGACTACTTCCTATAGAAATCAGTCTCCTTATCTCGTTTGCAGGAATGTAAAAGGTGACAGTAGGAGAAGCAGCCCAAAGTAGAGTTGTTCTCATGCAGAGATCTTTTCTATCAAGCTTCATCCTAAAGTGACACTTTGCATTCACGTTGCAGTAGATAACAATGCATACATATCATGAGTCATAGGTATTTATAATGGGAAATACTAATAAAATAGTGACCCCATTTCCATGATCAGCTATGTTCTAATGCAGGATACAAACAGATTATTTGTATTATATTAATAAGCACAAAGAAAATCAAAAGAGCAATTATTCTTACCTGATTAGCATAAAATTAAAGCACCTGAATGCATAATTGACTGAAAAATATGAATGGATTAATTTTTAGAGTCTAAAGAATCCCTTAAATTAATGTCTTTTACATAAATTTTTCTGTCACTGAAGAGTTCTCTTCACTGCAGGTTAATGCTTGGAGGTTAGAAAACACAAACTAATATAAAAGCCAATATATGAAAATAGCACAGAACAGTAACTGCAAAATGCTATTAGCACATTTACTTTTCAAGTTCCATTTATGTCTATAATTAAGCAGATAAACAATAACTCTTGCATAACATAAAATTAAGCATACATTTAAAATAGAAAACCAGAACAGAGTGCTGCCAGTGTTGCATGTGTTCCACACAGAGACAGCATGATAATGCTTAATATTACTATAAAATATATGAAAGTTGATTCCAGAAATGGCACTATTTCATAATATAAGCAATTTTAGTCTCAAACTCTGGCAGAAATACAGTGAATGCACCATTTCATCATCTGATTTCAAATGAACTATAACATGATTAGGTTCGTATTTTCATAGATAAAGCTGAACAGATCCAGGGACACTTGGTTTTAAATCATCCATTAAACTTATTAAACTATAAATAAGCAGCAAATAATCATCTTATAGGAAAGTGAGATAGAACTACAAACCCCCAAAATCAGCCTTATTCACAAAACAATCCAATCTGCTCTCCATTTTTTTAATAGATTATATCAAGGATTTTCATCTATGAGTTCTTTCAGGGTCTCATCCTCCCTGTAATAGCAACTAACAAATATTGAGGGGGGTTAGGGGCAGGGTGCAAGAATTATAATCTTAATGAGACTGAGTAAGTAAAAGAAGTTGGTGAATTCCCAACAGTGATGACACCCCCCCATTAAAAGTGTTCCCCTTCTCTGGAACTTTGCATTACTTCCACTGAAGTTATCACAGAATCAGCTAGACTGGAAAAAACCCTGAAGATCAAGTCCAACTGTTATGCCATTCTCCTGAATGGTAGGCTACTTCACTGTATGGGCTGCTCATAAAAGTTTCTTCCCAAGAGATGATAATAAAAGCAATAATAAGGAGAAATTTTGATTTCTTGCAGAATCGAGTAATTTAATCTGTTAGCACTCCAATGTCCTTGTTTCCACAGACATCATTCTCCTGGTGTAGTAGCTCCAAGACTTGATGTTACACGTAATAGTAAAAATTACCTGAACTTCATGTTGTCCTTTCAGTCACTCCAGTTTACACTTGCCACATAAAGGGTAATAACAGACATGCTCCTCAGATGACCAGAGATGACCAGAGCATCCTTATTCTCACACTATGGAAAAAATACAGACATACATGAACCACTCATGATCATAAGAAAGGAGGAGAAAAAGTGAACAGTTCTCCAACAAACCTGCCCGACACAGCCAGGGCTACCTCTTCTAGAGACTTGCAGATGCTTACCCAAGGCATTCATTCAACTGCTGTTTAGCACACCCTCCCACAAAAGCAGCACGTCTCTCCAGGGTCAGAATGGATGCTTTGGTTGTGATGTATTTGTGCAAAAAAAAACCTGGGCAAATAGGGATGATGTTGGGTTTAGAGTTTTCTTCACACTTAATAAGCCAAGGGATTGAAAAGGACCAAGCAAACCTCAGTTTTGTCCTAAAACCTTGGTTCTTCAAGTTGTCAGTCCTATTGCAACTGCTTTCATTTCTGCCTGATTTTCAAAGGAAACTACACTTACACTACACAATTCTTCAACTTTTTAACTCCTTTCAATTGAACTGAGAGGTTAACAGCCTGAAAAAAAAACAAGTACCTACAGCTTTGATGAAAACAGGTAGCAGTGAAGAAAAATGCTACTGAGACTGTAATGATTTCTGCAGAGAACACAATCAATATGAACTCACCTGGGAGAGCACCATCATGCGTGTGTCTTCGGCAAGAAAGTCCACAGGAAGCAAGGCTTTACTAACTATGCTGTTAAAGGAACTATTTGTAATACAATATCCACAAGAAAGCTAGCTTTTTATGTGCTAAACCACTTCTTTGTCTTCATGGGTTGCTTTTTCCTTGCAATTGAGTTGTCTGATTCCAACAGCTGTATACACTTCACTAACTTTTTAGACACTGATAGGCATTCTTTAAAGGATTCTCAGGACTTTGTTTCCATGGGTATTGTTCCCCTGCGTCTGCTTCAGTTCCCTTGGAGGGCAGGAACATGCACCACAGCATGCATCTTGATGACTTTTGTGCCTCACGGGCTCAGAAGCTTGCCCATCTCTTCTTACAAAAAATGCAAACAAACTCTCAATGAACAGACAGCTGCAACATCATTCCAAAAGAACAACCTCTAAATGTATTTGTTAACTTGTCTGAACACAAGATTTCCCCCTACCCTTCAAACTAAGTGACTGATTGACAGGTAGGCAAAAGCATTTGCTTTGACAGAATCAGACTGTCATCAGTTTTCACGTTCTCTGCTGTCTGAACTGTATCAAGCTGATCAGAGTTGTAATTCTCCTGCAGCAAATCAAAGCAAAGCAAAAAACCTCCAGTCCTTTCCTACACTGGACTTGATTTGTCCAATGTATGTTAGTGAGTAGCACATTCAACTATGATAAAAGTCCATTGTATAAACTGCTTTTTACAACTCCTGAAACACAGAAATTATCCAGCTTCTTAGAACAACTTCATCTGGTAAGAAGATGAGCGCAGACAGAAGAAACTACAACTTACCTAATTGTAATTTGCTTTTTTCACTTGGCTGTTGTAGAACGCTGGCTCTGACCAAACAATTCACCAAGAAGCCATCAGGCAACAATATTCAAGAAAATACATGAGCTTATATCGAAGTGGAACTGGCAACCACTGACCCTACAAACACCTTTTCTTATGCAGTATTGCAATAGCTTGGACAGTAGGAAGGAACAGTTTGGACAATCTCCATCTGATCTTGCTAGAAAGGTAACCGTAACAACTGTGTGCCTCAGCTATTTCTGCAGTCACATGCAGTTTGGGATCACATGGTTAGGTATGCTATTCACCCCATATCAGCAGCAAGCATATGCAATTGATTGATACGCATGCTGGATAAGGCCCCAGCTGGACTTTAATGGCTAAGATTGTGATAGAGGATTTGTTCTGAAGTACCTTGCTATTCTCTTTCCAGAAGAGTGGAGCATTTTAAAGTAAAGATCTGGCTGAGGAAAAAAAATCCATCTGGCAAAACCTTACAACATTATGATTTGCAGAGAGACACTGATGACGCTTTCTTACACTGTACATTTCAGATCTATCACACACAGTAAGGAGAGCACCTCTGCATCTTCTCAAGGCTTATACTCCACTGACACACGGTTTTTCAGCACAGATATTTTAACTGAGAACAGCTCAATTCTGAAAACTATAATTTAAAATACATATTATTTTAATATTTGAAATATACTTCAGTTTTATTCTTCTTTAGAAAAGTGAAATTTCATCTGCACATTCATTTAAAGTGATAGAAATTCCACTTTGTCTCCAGAAGTCATCTCAAAATAGAACAGATTTGTAAAACCTGTTTAACCCAGTCTGGTTTCTACTGTGCCTGAAGTACTCTATGTGCTACACATAAAAGCCTCATTAAGAAGACCTTTTCCTACTCTCTCATTAAATACACCTCAGTGCAAAAAATAACATGCAACGTAAGTATCTGAGACACTCTGTATAAGGAAAATTACCAAACTCCTCAAAAACTAAGAAACCCTCAAACAGCCTACAACTCGTTTTGCATTTGATATCACAAATAGTAAAACCTACAAATTCTTATAGGTCGCTTTAGCTGCTTTTCTAGTGTACATACAGAGATATGACTGCATGGGCTGAGTATGAAACTGGAAATCACAGTGTCTTACCTAATGATTTGCCAGACCACACTAGAGGAACTAACCAAATTGTACCAGTCTTCCCCCTGTACAGCAGAGAGAAACTGGTTTACACTGTATTGATCAAATCTATTCAGTTAACAAAGAATACATGAGATATTTGGTTTTTAGGAGTGAGTTTTAGAGAGCAGTAAAGCACACGTTCAGCTACATGCTAAAACAAATTGAAATGGCATTGCTAGTTACTGACAAAGTGTCTACTACTGGACAATTTATCTAGCCTTGCTAGAGAATGGTATCAGGTAAAACAGAAACCAAAGGACATTAATTAGAAGTAAGTATCCAATTTTCCCATGGCAAACTTGATCTTGCATGACTTAATTTGTACAAAAGCTAAAGGTGAGGAAATTGTAAGAGGCTATAGCACTTACCAGCTTCTCAAATGACAGAGACTTGACAGAAGTCTTGAGAGGCACAAGACTGAAGTCTGTATATAGACTGCTCTGACATTTTAATTCCATCAAGTTATCTACAGATGCACAGACAGTAAAACCAGATCAAGCGCAAAAAGGAATCTGTCAACTATCAAAGAAAATACTACAATTGCCTTTACCTTAGGTTTTTAATCAATTTCAATTCTCCACTTAGGTGTTTTTGTGCATTTTAGAACAAGAACTAACATTCAAAATGACACTTGAAGTGTTTTCAGGCCACAAGTGACATGACTTTTTCCTTTACATCAACCGTCTAGCATTTATAATCAAATAAATGGAGAAGGGAAAGTTAGCAGATGAACTCCTAAGCGATATTAAGAATATGTTGTCCTCATATTAAAATCTGTGTTTGATTCTCTTTTTATAGAAATATCCTCATGTAAGTTTTCAAAGCAAAACTAATCATGCTTTCTAGCAGGCCATTATGAAAAACCACCACCGTGAGACAAAACTCAAAACACTGAAAAACAGGGCTTGCAAACTGATTCTAACTAAAAGACTATTATTTTAACATGATTTCTTCCCCATTCTCTCACACTTAACCATGCAGTTATCACAATTAATTTCACATTCCTTGGAATAAGTTATCAGTACATAAAGGTCAAGAAATTATCTGTTCTTAATGTATGAATTCTCCTTCTTGCAAGAGGATGGCTACTTCCGGCATCTTTTGCAGAAAAGCTTTAATGTTGTTTGCCAAATTAGACATTTTATCTTCCATCAGCACCTGCAGTTTACTACTGGTTTGCTCAACGGTCCAGTGCTTTCTTTTAATTCTATTTCAAGAGAGGAGGCACAAACTCCAAGAAAAGAGTTGTAAGTCCTGAGTTCTCAAATTCCTTTCGCAGCTCATCCAGTGTTGAATATTCTTTGACTTCAAACGTCTGAAACCTGAAATTGTAAAACGGTAACTCATGAAGATGCCCAGATTTGTCAGAATGTAATTCTCAACTCCGTTACTTTTCTATCCACAACACTACTACATTATACCTTTTCTGCTGTGCCTGTAATTTTTTCTCACACAGTACACTAATCATTTTCTCTTTGCATTTCTTTCCGCTTGAGTCCACATCTACCTTAGAAGTTTTCTGAAGAACCAAGTACTCCTAAGTGAAAAAAAAAAAAGAGTAAAATATTAAATGTCACCTTAGTAACTCTGAGGTTGAGTAAAATGCAAAAATCTATACAAAACATACAGGGTTTTTTTTCAACACATAGCAACCAAATTTTCAAAGTGCCCATCCCATAAAGTGCATGACCATTCCTAGTCATCAGCTTGAAGTTACATACAGTCTTCAGTGATGTAGAGAACATGAGTTTGAAAAGACTAAACATTCTCCTTTAATATCACCACAAAAAGCTGCCTAATGCAGTGGGAGTTCTTAAATACAGACAGAAGTTCAAAGCCCAGGTGTGCACCAGGAGCACCATGTGGTCTAGGGCAAGAAAAGAAACAGTAATGACCTAGAAATATATCTGCTATTTGTTTCTAATCACAAATTTTTTGTTTTCTGAGGCATTTGGGACATTCAGGAGACTGAACCTAGGCATATTACAATCAGGATACGCAGGGAATATAGAGGTCTAACTACAGTGGGAAGCAAAGTGATACAGGTCACAGGTCTACAGGTATCACTGGTTTCTTTCTCACAGAATACCTTTTTTTCCTTAAATACAGAATGAAGTTGCTGTGCCCTCCTATTCTCCTAATGATCAATTTGCTTCCAAATTGTTAATCTTAGAAAAACACACACAAAATATTCAGATGCATAGGTTTCAGTGGTAAATCAATAGAACTAGTCAACAGTCATTGTTCCTGCACCTTAATGTTGCTCCTGTCACCCTGAAGAAGAATCAATATTATCTTGCCCATGAACATCAGTCTTCCAGTCAGCCTTAGATCCAAAGCCCATTTTTCCACAGTTCTGACGTATTTTGCCTTGGCTCTCATGTGATCTAAATGCAAAAGGAGCATCCAGATTCCGTCCTCTGTACTCTTCTCTTTTGACAAAGTAGTTTTTTCATGGCAAACTGTTGCTGATTGCTTAATGACATATTTAAGATGCTGCTGTATCCAAAGAATCAGATCATGTACCATGGGTTCAGAAAGATGCTTCTTTGCTTGTTCAAGTAATTTCTCTTTCACATCCATACATTGGGCCCTTGTAAGCTGGGCTGAGCTAACAGAAATATCTGGTAGAGTCGATGGATAACTGACTGGTAAATGAAATAACAGCTTTAAGAGTACATCTGTATCCAGTAGTTCTTTCACACTGATTTGAATCTGAAATGTGATTCCATGCGTCTCTAGAAAGAATAAGAAAAATCAACATGAACAGACTGCTTTTAGTTGAAACACATATGTATTATTAATCCATGGCATTTTCTTTAACAGTTCAACTCAAGTGACTGCCAGTCTATATAAAATAAGGGGTGTGGGGGTTATTTTGCAGGGTGGGAGGTTGCTGCCAATGGCTCAAGCTAGACTTGCAGGGAATCCTGAAATGAAACACTTCCATATCATACTAGAAGGAAAGTTATTAACACATTCTGAAAAGCATTCACACCTTTTGGCTCTTTCAAAGTCTAGGCAAGCCAGTAATAAAGAACTGCTTCTCTCAGAAACACGTAAGTCAGCTTCTACAGCTCAACAGCAGCAGTGAGGACAACTGAAAATAGAGACTCTTCTGGATGGACTCAGCACTGCCCTAGCTTTGCTCCTAGAGAAATCTGTAAAACTTCTAACACCAGTATGAGTGCAAAGCATATAGACTTGCACTGAGTATTTTTTAAGACAACTGCTCAGAAGCAGTTCCACACTAAAGAGAGACTTGGAATATAAAAAAATGAAGATTCTTTGTTGCCTACAACTTTCAGATAAAATCCACTTAATTCTGTTCTGCCAACTTCTCTACATGTGCAACAGTTGAACTGACATAGTAACATCTGTTGTACATCTGATCTGAGATGCTACATACATGCATATATATGTATATACTTACATACACATATGTGTATACACCCACATATCTACTCAAAACCTGTTGTTGGTCTACTTTAGACTAGAATTATTTTCAGAGTGAAAGAGATACATACAGTATGTAGCAGGAAGGGCAGAAGGCATTCTCCTGACAAATCACATATCAAAGATGCTGAATATGAAAGTTATGTATGGTAATTCCTGCCATAAAACCTTCTTGACTAAAACACGATTCATAGAAAAACAATACAAAACCTCATCAAGTGAAAAGTGGGCACAAAGATCTAACCTACTTTTGGTCCTCTGACATGAAGAAACAGGGTATCAGATAAAAGAGGATCTTCTTCAGATGTTCTCTGCTTCACCCCTTTCCTTTAAAGAAACAGCTAAAATGTCTGGTTGCTTCATTCTATGAGGGCAGGAGAAGCCAGATCTGAAAGGCAGATTAGAGTAGAGCTGAGTTTCAGAGGAGCTCTTTTGAAGTGAGTTGCCTTCTTCTCCCTCTACCTTATCTTACCTTCCTTTACATGACAGTCATTTGAATTATGTTTTAGTATTGCTGATGCTGTTAACCAACCTCGGTGCTCTCTCTGATTTTCTATTTGAACCCCACTAAATAAGTGAAAGAAGCTAAAAGTGACTTGAACAGACAGAAGCACTTTAGAGAGCTTAGCCAAGGGCCTGTTTCCAAACCGCCTTCCAGGGTCCTAGGAAGAACTTTTTCTAGGTCAGCGCAGTCACCAAATGAAATAAGCAAACCCTCAAAACCCAATAATCAAACTCTAATGTTACCATGAAGCAAACACCTGCAAACCATTGCTACCTAAACAGAGTCAAATCCAGTGCTGAAAGCAGTAGATGTGAACCCAGTGAACTAAATGAAATTGCACCCAACCATACCCATACCTACAGGCACTACACATCAAAGCCTCATTCGCTGCCATGAGGAGGTGGTTTCCAGCCTTCTAAGATGCTATGAAAGGTTCCAGATTATTTTTAAGGCAAGTTTATTCCCCAAAAATGCACCTGCCTTAGGAGAGACTCCAGTTTCCACAGCATCTGGCAGCAAGCAGCCCTTGCTCCCCTGGGAGTAACTATGCACGAGGACCTTAAGCCTTCCTGTTCCAGTCTGTGTCTTCTGTTGCCCTGACAAACGTTTCTTAGTGGGCAGCAGCAATGCTCTGTAATAGTGCAATTCCTCTGTCAATAGGGTAGGCTCGGTACACATAACCTCACACGCAAGAAAAGCCTGCACTGCACCTTCTGGGACCCCCAGCACCCTCCTGACCACCACGGAGGGTCTCTAAACACATAGAGTGCCTGTTACCCACCCCCTTGAGCTGCCCCTTGCATAGGGCAGCCACACCAGGTACACAGCCAAGCTGCCTTTGGCTGAACAATATGATTATATCCCTGCCTGTGAATCACTTCATTTTAAACCATGTTGCCAAGAATTGTAAAACTGCACAGCCTATAAATGAGCTGAAGAACACTACTGCCAGCTTAATTACAGTGACAGAAAAACACCTGATAATCTGATAATCCTCCTCGGGTTTTTTCACTAGTTTGTCTTACCAGATCTCACCAACTCTGAAGTAACTAAGGGATAAACAGACAGGCCAGCCTTGCCCCTTTGGCAAGGGCCTCCTGTTGCAGCGATCTTATCTTTAAGCCTGCAACAATCTCACACCTTTCTCTCCCTGTGATGATGAACTAACCCGAAGGAAGCAGAGCGGCCTTGAATCCCAAGGTGTGTGTATCACCCTGAGCCATGCTCATTTACATCTGCTTCGGACTTACTTCTGACAAGGAGAATTGGTTTGAAACGTCTGTGGGGCTACAGCACCTAAAGCTTATGTCACCACAGTATCTAAAGTTTATGTCACCACCCCAGCGTCCATCCCATTTTCTGCACCAGCACTGCAGGCGCCTGGCAGAACAAAGAGCAGAGCACCCCGCATAATGAGGCTCTGGAGCAGTACCTCCTTTGTTTGCACAAGCTACCAGGTTTGAGTTGTCTTCCCAGCGAAACAGTGATGATTTCTGAAGTAAAAGCTTGGGTATGACCATTCTGCTGGCATTTAATGTGCTAGTAAGACTGAACTCCATGAATTTTAACTCATTTTCCCCATGGCTGCATGCTTATCAGTATATTTAGCTCTAGCATCCTTGAGATTTTTTCTTATGTTCCATGTCAAGCAGACAGATATCCCCCTCCTCTCCTGCCCAAAGGCATTTTATGCAACACATGCAGTCTATTTTTACATTCAGAAAATGGCACCTTCTAACGTACACGCTTCGAATATATATTTTTATAGGAAGCTTGGTGAGCAAAGCAGAAGAGAACAGATTAACAAGTACATTACGGATTTCCATCTGTAACACTGATCTTTGTAAATAGATATGGAAGGTAAAGAAGATATGCTGTAATTAGTTTATTTAAATGCAGCAACACACTGTTTTTGATAAAAACACATTTTACATTCTGAATACTTTAATTATTCAATTCCAGAAAACCAAAGTTTTTAGCTTACCAAGAGACACACAAAAGCATTTTCCTACATTCCTCAAACCTGTAAGTCCCCAACAGCCTCGTTTTTGATGCTGCGGGTCTACATACAAATTACTCTTAATGTATTAGAGACAGCATAACGTAACAGCCTTACTGGAAGTTGCTTCTGTGTACTGTTTGTCAATGACAATTTGTATGGTTTGAAGACATAAAGCAAAGGTGAGTTAGCAGTATACAAACTAAAGGATCATGCAGCTCCAATGCAAACAAGAAGTAAATTCCCGAAGTAAGAAAACTACCCATAATCATTCTTGTAAATAATCTTTGCTATTCCAGCAGAAAACAATGGAAAACAACCAAATATACATGATCCTAACATATCATGAGCACAGCCTGGCTAAAGGCCTTGCAAGGTCACATACTATCAATATAAATACAACAGCCTGTTCCTGCTGTGCCCTTGTGGCACTTCCCTTTACGTTCCAGGAAGGTTTCTAAGCCTTTTACATCCCAGTAACTTAAGCACAAGCCCATTTTCCTGCATATGAAGCAGAGAGAAGGATGCACACATATTTCTGTAACAGCTTTGGAGGAACAGACGTGCATATGCAATGCTCAGATATGTTCACGTTTTAAAGTAAAACGTCTGTTAGGCCTGGATGTTGTATTTTCAAATGACGCCTGAAATAACAGCCCTGAACTTCTTGACTTTTAAGAAAATAAAACTCCCTTGAAACATTTCATCAGTTGGGTTTTAAAAATACAACTCTAAAATAACCCCAATCTCCAACTAAAATGGCAGAATTACAAGCCGACACTGGAGCAAGAGGTGTGTCATGGAAAGCTAGACACAAAGCAATCCTGCTTTTAGATTATGCCAGTTACTTGTGCTCCATGCAGACACTCACGCCTTCATCCCTCTCAGGCTGTCTGTGCACAAAGTCCTCTTTTCAAATCACCACTTTGTTCTGTGCAAATCTAGTTCAACTGTTTTTAAACACAAGTTTGAGGTTTATTCAGTTAATGTCCTAGTGATTTTTTTGTTCAAGTGAGTCAAAAGCAGCCACGTTATTTTATACCACAGTGACTTTTACAGCATCACAGAATGGTTGAGGTTGGCAGGGATCTCTGGAGATCATCCAGTCCAACCCCCCTGCTCAAGCAGGGCCACCCAGAGTGGGGCACACAGAAACATGTCCCAGTGTTTTTGGGATGGCTCCAGAGCGGCAGACTCCACAACCCCCTGGGCAGCCTGTGCCAGGGCCCTGACACCCTCACGTAAAGCAGCCCTTCCTCATGTTGAGGTGACACTTCTTGTGTGTTAGTTTACGGCTATATATGGTATATGACTGTAAGCTAAATGTTAATGCAGTATCACAGAGAATCACATCTATCATAGAAAATATATGGTCATAGCATGTTCTCTACAATAGCATATGCACATTATCTGTGTGTATCTACAACAAATACAGATGAGAGTTCCCATCTACTTATGCTCTTTATCTGAACAGACCCGCAACACTCACATATCCCACCTGATGCTTCCTTAAGTAACTGCTGTTGGAACTATTGAGATTTACTGTCCCTCGATGGAGGACCATCTTTGCAGCATTGTTGAAAGTCATCTCTTTCACCCTATGTGACCAGCAGGCAGCAGCGGATGGGAGCAAACACTGCACACCTCAGGCTCCCACCCTCAGCAAACATGACGGATGAGCCTCAGTACCCTGTAAACCCATAGCCATACCACACCACTGAAGCTGGAGAATCTGGTACATGGTAAGAGCCAGATTACCACCTTACCCCCAGAAAAGTAGAGATCACCCAAACCTTCTCACACACTGCAGCAGCTGCACCCCTACGATACACTACAGGATAAATACCCACTCTTGTTACATGCAGGAGATGCTTGTTCTCTGACCATGGCAGGGGGGTTGGAACCGGATGATTTTTAAGGTCCTTTCCAATTTAAACCATTCTATGATTCACCTCAATAGGCTCCAGCCCATTCCCACCGCTGCCCTTCACCTACTGCAAGTTCCAGCGTGCACCACAAACAGCTGCGATTAAGAAGCTCGCTAATTACAAACGAGCAGGATCCAATGGGATTTGTCCCCTACAAAGAGTGAGGACGCAGGGACGGGAGGGAAGGGACCCATCCTTGGCGCTGCCATTAACAGCAGGCGCCTAAGCCGGCGCTGCCCCGCTGGGCAGCTCCCCGTGAGCCGCTTCCCCTCGGGGCCGGTGTGGGGCAGCGGGCGGATCACCCCCGGCTGAGACCCTGCCAAGCAGGACGACCCGCGGCCGCCTTCACCTGAGACCGCCAGCACCTCGCAGGCGTCCGGCTCGCAGTAGATGGCGGCGAGAGCCGAGAGCTCCTCCAGCGCCAGCTCCGACATGGCGGCGGGGCGGAGCCTCCTGCCGGGCCGGGCGTCGGGGACGCTGCAGCTGGCAGCCGGGCCCTTCGAGTCCTGCGGCGGCCTCGTCGCACGGTGCCGCTCGGCTCCGGCAGCCTCCGGGGCACCGAGCGGCAACGGGCAGCAGCAGAGGCGGCGGCGGGGAGAGGCTCTTTCCCTCAGCGCCGAACAGAAACATGGCGGCCGTGTGAGGCGGCGCCGCGCTCCCCGCTCCGGGTGTACGGCTCCTCATGGCTGCTCTAACACACCGAAGGGAATAACCCGCCCGTCCTCGGCGTGTGGAAGTCAACGCGCGTACATACAGCTTTACCAAAACATAGGTTTACGTTGGTTATAGTCAGCTGTTGTGGCTCCATAGTTCTGTTAGCTGACAGGTGTCCTCAACTCAGGTACAATCACCTCCAAAGCAATAGTCGGCATCTCCGTATTACGGATAGCTTTTAAAAGGTAGGGAGGGTGGTTTACCTTTATTAGACAATACATCGTGCTAGTTTTAATCCCCTAAATTCTGTTCAAATAACAAGAAACATCGAAGTGCTGAGCTGGGGAATGAAGGACGTAACAGAGGGGAAGACGGGAGCTACCAGCAGCACTGCCAGGTAGGAGTCCATGCTGCCGACTGTCAGAGGAGGCTCTGCTGGAAATTAGCCTTAAAAGTGCCTCATTCTATTATTAAGAACTTCCTTGGCCCTGGTCTTCCACCCCCAACCCCACCCACTTTGCATATTCCATTTTACACGTTTAAATAAAAGAAGTCGATGTAAATGTCTTTTAAATTGACACTCTCCCAAGACATTGAGGTCCCCATGAATAAGTTACTGCACTCTGACATTTGGAAGTCATCAAAGGAGACAGTATAATGTCAGCCTGATATTTTTCACGCTAGGAAAATATCAGCTTCATGTCAAAGATCTAAATTCCATCTTAATGTAATAAATTTCCTTGTATTCGCAGACTGGTGAAAATGCTAAATATTTAAATTGGAAATGAACTTCTACAGTTACAGCCTGGCCTTCATATTCCACCATTATTAAATTGGAGTTCAAGATCTTATTCTCCCCCTCTTTCTTTTTCCTATGGTTTGTTCAAACATTGCAGTGTTTGATAGAATAACATCAGCCGTATTCAGTGCTCTAAAAGGATGCTTTCCTATCAACGTGGCAAATACAAGTTAAGAAGAACATCATGCTTTTTAGAGTCAGCCTGTATTAAAGCAGCTCCAGCGTCCCGTCATAAATCAGTACGCCACTGATACCACCATTTTCCACTTTGCCTGATAAGACAAACAGAAAGCAACCTTTCATCACAGATAAGATTCATCTTCCCAGTGTTATTTGCAAAAGTAGTATCCTTTGCTTTCCACTCACTATAGCTATGGCCCAAATAAATTAGGTGCTGTGCCGACAACCACTGATGATTTTAGAGAAAACTATCTGTTTGTACCTGTTTTCCTGAGTGGTAAATAAGAGGAGGCAGACATTTTGGGGACAAAATGTAAATTTGGAACGTCTATCTACATTTTTTAACCATCATTTCCATGCCAGCCACTCTCCCATCTCAGCAACCATTACTCTAGAAGGCGTTAAAGAACTAGGAAGAGTCTAAAAACCACTGCAGTTGCCCATTTTGGGGTCACAAGACAAAGACTAATAAGGAACCCATAACCTCACCTCTGCAACACAAGTCACATCCTCCTTTTGGCACTATTGCAGGTCCTGTGTTTTCTGCTCCAACAATGCTGACAGCTCTAATGCAGCCATAAGGGTATTCTTGCCATCTAAACCTGTTTTAAACAGAGCTAAACAGCACTGATATTTTTCAGATACCAAAGAAAGAAGCTATTATTTCTGCAATAACAGCTCTCGAGTGTTGCCGCAATAGCAGAAGTTTTCCCAAAAGTGGCTTGTACCTAAAATGGCAAAGAGAAAACCTCTAAAAATCACTCCAAATAAGCTAAAGGGCAAAAGTTTAAAGGCAACAGGAGGAGAAGCAACCCCTGTAATTGTGAGAGATTGCGGTAAAACAGAGATGATTCTCCTCAGTATTCTCAAGCACAGGTAGTAAAAAAGTTTGCAGCATCTTTTTCTTTTGCCCCAAAGCATGTTTTTTTTTAAAGTTGGAATAAATACATTTAGCAAAGAAATGATGCTGCAAATTAAAAGCTGCCAATGTTTGTATGGCTTGTTCTGAGGTTAAATTCACCATTTGCATGAAGTTCTGCTCTTTGGCTCTTGAAAGCAAGCTAACGAATTCACAAAAGTATATCTCGATAGAATATATACATAAAAATATATGTTTTTTACATAAAAAACCCTTCTCTAATTTGAGGGAAAAAAATACAAATTGGAGGAAAAATCTTTTCTATTGCTTTTCCTTTTAAGTATTTTAGAAGCAAGCTTTTCAAGGATTTGTGCTGTGGCAATGCTTTTTAAAGGCACTTGCATTTATCCTCCAAGCATCAAACTGCTCTAAGTCAGTTCCCCAAGACATTTAATCTTTTGGCAGATGGAAACTCATTTTGAAAGTCTACTAATGATCAATTAAAGCATTAGCTGTCTCTATAGACAGGAGGTTTATGGAGTCACAGGCTTCAGAAGCTGGAGGCAAGAGCAGCAGCATGGTATAAAAACAGCTAAAACTTTCTACAGTTACCTCAAAACTGGCAAAACATCAGAAAACAAAAAAACATCACTTGTTTTTTTTGGTCATCATATGTTGAAAACAAATGTGATGCTTTCTATTTCATAAGAGAGGCCATGGTTCAAACTAAGCATCAGCAAAGGAAACTGTTCTTTTAATTATTTTTCTTTTTTAATGAGGCCTAATAATCCCAATACTTCCAATGAATTTCCATTATCCTTTGAAAATTGGGTTCGCTCAGACTCCAGTCATAAAAACATGTACCCAAGCTGCAAATATGCAGCCACGTCTTGCGAGTCGTTTGGGATGAGTGGTTCACTCGTAAGCACCTCCCATATGGAGACAGGCTGAGAACATTGGGGCTGTTCAGCCTGGAGAAGAGAAGCTGCGTGGAGACCTCAGAGCAGCTTCCAGTGTCTGAAGGGGGCTACAAGGATGCTAGAGAGGGACTCTCCATCAGGGACTGCAGTGACAAGACAAGGGGTGATGGGTTCACACTGAACCAGGGGAAGTTCAGGTTAGATCTAAGGCAGAAGCTCTTCCCTGTGAGGGTGCTGAGGCGCTGGCACAGGGTGCCCAGAGAAGCTGTGGCTGCCCCATCCCTGGCAGTGTTCAAGGCCAGGTTGGACACAGGGGCTTGGAGCAACCTGCTCTAGTGTGAGGTGTCCCTGCCCATGGCCAGGGTTGGAACTGGATGATCTTAAGATCCTTTCCAACCCAAACCATTCTATGATTCCATGTAAATAATGCATCTTTTCACACACGCTCAAGGCCACTCGTTTAGGTTTGGAGTCAAGGCTAGTACTCTGCCCACAAGCTTCTATAGAATTCAATGTACAAGTAGTAAGTCCAAATCGATGCATCTGTCACATTCATAAAAGAATTTAAGATTCTTTCTCTAAGAGTTTGGCAAGCCATTTGTTTTTCTTGAAGGAGATGCAGATAGAAGTCATTAACCATCTAATGCAAACGAAAAATGATCCTTCTTACAAAATGGACATAGCTGGTATGCCCATATGTACCTGTTATTACTAACACTGCCAAAAGAGTCAATACTTACTTGATTCACTGCATGTAGAGCTTTGCCTACAATTTACCTTGTACAAAGTAAGACAGAATAACAAACAGAACACACTTCTTTTTTCAGCAAGAGTAAAAAAACATGAAGTTGCCTACTAAAACTATGTAGAAAACTAACAATGCTATCGATTTTTAAAGAGGACATACGTAAAGATACTTGTGGGTAGGGAAAGGTATGATACTGAACACATAAGCACAGCTTACGAACAGTATATTCTACCCTCACAGTAAGTTCAGCTTCCACATCAAGTACATCTGCTTGTGGAACATCACTACATGGATTTGCCTCCAGGTGTAAGCAAAGAGAGACAAAGAATTAAAGTGTAATTTAACTTAGTAAATGTTGGGGACTCTTTAAAAAGTAAAGGAATGGTGTTTCTGACAGGGGCATTTCTGCCCTCTAGGAAGAAACACAGCACTAGGAAGAGCAGTGCTCCTTAGTTTTCCAGTTCCTGCAAGTTTAGCTGCTGAGCGTCAGTAACCTTAGGATCTGCACCTCCATCTTTTGAACCTGGGCACATTAGGTATTATTCCCCACACTTTGACACTAGAGTGAACAAACAAAATGGGAGTGCGTAAGATGACAGACTATTCATGGTGGTTTTCAGAGCACCCAGAGATCCTTTACCACTCTCACACCTTTTGGAAGCAGAACAATATTCATCATCATATTTTAGACTTTAACTAATTATTTACAGAACACATTAAAGTCCTTATAATGAATACATTATGTAAGCACCAGACAGCATTATTACCCCATTTCACACTAAACTAGCATCCCTCTTTCACACCAGAATCCAAAAACGTTAGTCTAGAACACTTTGCTTTGGCAGTAAAAAACAGTAATAATCAACAAGGGGCACAAATACCTTCTTCTCAGCAAGACAGTTTCTTCTGTAGCAGAGCAAGGCAGAAACTGTAGAGCTTAACTGAAAAGTTAGCCAAGATTGAAGCTAGCACTATTGGCATAGTATGAAAGGAAGGAGTAAAGCTGTTTCTAGGGGAGAGGGAGATTAGATAGATAGATAGACAGACAGACAGACAGACAGACAGATAGACAGACAGATAGACAGATAGACAGATAGATAGAGACAGAAGAGCCCCCCTTTTCAAACTGCCTGCTAGTGCAATGCAAGGGGAAAATATCATAGGATGACTAAACGTAAGCAGGAACTCCAGGCATTCCAGCATGACAAACCTGTGAACTACTCTGTAATTACAAGGCACGTGCGTTGGCCAGAGGCATACTGTGGAAGAGCAGAGTTGGGTCAATGTTACTGAGTAGGGAGGGTGTTGTGAGCACAGCCATGCTGTGTTGGGTGCCTCTCTAGACTGGCATCACCCTAACTGCAGGGTCGTCACTATCTGCCTGCAGCAATGCAACAGCAAGAGGTCAAACCCAGGTATTTGAATGCAGAGGAGCCTCCTGCTCCAGGGAGTAAAGATCAGTACTACTCTTGTCTATGTATGTATGACCCAAGACCTGATTATGGTTGGAGTGTTAATGCAGGAGTCCTTCTCCATCAATCAGCAACAGATTTGCAGTTCCTGAGCACCAAAATATCCTTGAAGGACGCATCTTCAGCTGCAGGCCTGGAGAGCAATAACTTGTTTCAACTGCAAGAGTCAAACACAATAGGTCAAGTGGGGCTTTGGCGCATTATAGCAGAGCTTAGGTGAACTGTGTAAATGCACAACTGATTTAGTGACAGTGACCATATTTTCCCTTTTGAACATGCACAAGGTTAACCTGGTTTGAGATCCTGGGTTCTAAACTTCTGTTTCAGCCTGACTGGGAACCTGCTGCTGCTGCAAAATTCCCTGAAAGGGCCTGATAAGGATATATCTTCACTTGTTTGAGCTTCATGAACTCCCCACACCTTTCCATACTTACAAAGAAAGGATGTAAGTTACATTAACTTGAATGTAGCCTAGACAATAGTTTTACTGCTCAAACATCCCCCAAAGGGTAAAACCACATCAACTTATATCAGTTTTTCAAGTTGACATTAGAATTCTGATCACTCCAACACCCATCTTCTGAGAAACAGTGAACTGCCAACATCAGGCATAAAGTAACTCAAACCAAAAAGGGAAAACTCCATGTTTGCTTCCTTCGGTCTTACTGCTTGTAGATATTACATTAATTTCTACTTCAAGGACTGTTAAAAAAACTTGTAATTCCTTGCATTCCTCTCTTCAGAAGCTACCCAGGATCAGGATGAATATATTTGCTATCATATGCTCTTCTGTTGAGTGCTGCTGCACATGAATTTAGTCCTTGGCTCTTCTGTATTGACCTAAATAGATGAGTAGTATATATAAAGATATGATTAGTTCTAACAGAATACAATCTCATATGACACATGCAAGAGCTCATCTCAATGATTCTTACACATAAAAATACAGTCACCAAATACCAAAGTTAAGAAAAGTATATTTATTTGTCATCAAACAAAAAGGAGACTCCAAGTGGTACATTTCATTAAGAGCAGCACAGAAAAGAGCCATTTTCAATCCAGGCATGTGGCATGAGACATCTTTCACCAGAGTTAGCAGCTATCACAATTTCAGCATCACACTTCCCAGATCATCCAAACTCATTCTCTGGAAGCTCCTGAAGCACTCCCTCCACTGGTGTGCTTTTTCCCCTCTTTGGTTGTGAGAAATACACAGTTCTGTGTGTGCCAAGTTACTGATGCATAATCCTACAACAAAAACAACGCACCTCAAAAAGAATGAGCCTCAGTCTTCACTGTTACAAGAGAAAGAAGCAGCTCTTTCACTATCAGATACGCTTCATCCAAGCTCACACACTTCTCAAATCTCATGCATGCATTGCTTACTCAGATGATTTTTATTTCCCCAAAACTATTTCTCATTTTTATATATGTATGTATGTATGTATGTATGAATCACTGAAAAACAAGGAGTGGATAAGGGTAAAAGTGTGTTTTTCTCTTAGGATTTGGACTTCTGGGTAGTATTTATTCTTACCATGCAGGACAGCTGGTTCTGAAGTGGGAGCCATTCATCTCAACCAGTACCCTTAAACTATAGAAGCTTTCCTGCACAATTTTTTCCTAAACGGCAAGTTACTTGACTGGAACATTGAGGAGCTTTCCCCTCAGTTAAAAATAGCCACTTTCCAAATATGAAAGTACAGCTGGTTCCCTGTTAAGGTTGGGAAGTTTCACATAGCTTCTCCCATTTGAGAGGCTACAATGTGAAACTCTCTTCCATCTTCCATTCCCAA